GAGACATCATCATCAATATCAGCATTGGACCAGTCATTACTGCGTAACTGTCCGAGTTGCCACACCTCATATCAGTACATCAAGTAAAAAGGTAGTGAGGTGAAGGATGAAAATAAAAGAATGCAGTCAAAAAAAAGTACGAGAAGAAAAAGGAGGATGACGAGATGGTGAGATTCGGTATGGCGTTGTTAAGATGAGGATAATGTGTGTATACATCTGCACCACTGACATCGGTTCTGGGCCATACCATCACCTAGGGTCTCCAACCACTGGTTCCTCTTGTCCCGCCGACCCCAACCACCTAGTCTACATCGCCCACATGGCTCAAACCAGCAGTCAGAGACCTCATGCTTTGGTGCCATGTTTTAGTCTGGCCACCTCGGGCCTTTTTCCAGCCTGGACCCACCTCAGCCAACATTGTGTGACGAGGCGATCGGTGACTAGGCATATGTAGTACGTGTCCCAACCATCTCAGTCGAGAAGGTTCATAACCTCGTCAACTGATTTACTTCTACTCCCTAAAACTCTACACCTGACTTCTGCATTACTCACGTGGTGACACCACGGAATAAGGTCTATACTACGAAGGCAACGGTGGTCAAACACCTGTAACCTTCTCATGTCTTTCTCCAGCTTCAATGGCCATGTTTCACAGCCATACAGTAGAACAGAGCGGACTGCTGTGCAGTACACGCGACCCTTAATAGACAAACGGATATCACGGCGGCGCCATAGGTGACGTAAATTGGCAAAAGCCAATCGAGCCTCTTGTATCCGTGCATAGATCTCATCGGCAACTGACCCACCAGGGTTGATCCTACTTCCCAGGTAAGTGAAGTGGTCGACACACCACTACTGTGTCTGAGACACGTACACAAGAGTCAAGTATAGTTATTGGATCGACCTCACCTGGTCAAAGAAGTGAATCTTCAAAATACACCTCAAATGTATCTGTCAACCCTTGCGAACTCGGTGTAGGGATAGCATAGGACTGTAGAGCAGAAAGTATACTTCTCGACTGAATACCAGTTAACAGCCGTGTGTGCTGTCCGACTGAATGGATCGTGAGACTAGGCCATACCTATTCGTAATCTCCGTCTACTCACTCACCGGTTGCAGTTTGGATGATGCAAAGGATGAATTCTATGGAAAGCTGTCGACTTTGCCACAGAAAGCAAGACGTTCAGATGTAGTCGTAATTGCAGGTGACTTAACGCTCAGGTAGGGAAGGTGAGCTAATCGGAGGCATCTTCGGGGTGTTTACGGAATCTCATACCAACTAACGGACAATCGCGCTCGTCTGGTGCAACTTCGCTCCGACAATCACTTGTTTCTGACCAGCGCTAAGTGTAAGCGTGAGCAGGGACACTTTCACAAGGCGTCCGCCGACACCGAGTCGATTGACACGCAGACCATGTCTCTACAAGCCATCGACGGAGGATTAGCAGTCTTCCTGGAGTACCGGTTTGAAATCCGATCGTGCGCTGATACAGGCTCGTGTACGTCTGCTCCTTGCTAGTTGTATGGAACCTGTCTGCTCATTTAAGGAGGAGTTAGATAGCCTCCAACACTTGGCATCCAGCCTGGACCTGAATGGAACATAAATGTCTGTCCCACAACTCCTTGAAGTGGAGAAGGCTTTGTCGAACCTGAAATAATGCAAAGCAACAGGGCCTGACAGTTTGTCACCGGAAGTTTCCAAGGATGAAGGTAGGAAATGGTTAATTAAGGTGATAGAATTACTGGGGTGTGTGGAAATCAGAGGTGGTGCCGTCAGACTGGCTTATCGTTCCAGTCTATAAGAGAAGAGATAAATCCTCTTGTGACAAGCATAGGGGATTCAGTTTGCCTAATATTGTGTCTAAGATCCTAGGGTCCATCGTTATCTGACGCTTAACAGCAACAAACTCGAGAAAACCAGGTAGCTTTCAGATATGGACAAGGGTGCATCTACCATATTTTCACCCTCCATCAGTTTCCGGAATACAGGCAGCCGACACTTGCCATATTTCTTGACCTGAAGGTGGTAGCCGACTTTGTCGACAGTGAGGTGTTGTGGCAGTGAAGTGGCGACTAGGCAAGCATATAACGCTAATCAAAGCTGTCTACTCGAACTCACGCAGTCGTGTAGACTTATGGAGAGTTGTCATATGAGTTGGCGACAACTACGTGTCCACCGGGGATACCTGCTGTCATCGTTTCTATTTAACTTCGTTACAGACGTACTTATGGATATAACCTTGGATACGCCTGACTTCACAGGGATTGATCTACTTTCTAGAGGTCATCTGGCTAACTTATAGTATGCAGACGATGTTGTCATGCTAGTGGAAACGCTGACAAAATGTGGGGTATTCTGAACGCGTTGAGAAAAAGTTTGAGCATGTTTGGCATGCGTTTTGCACCTGTCAGCTGTGAGATGATGCCTCAGGATTAGTTTGCAGTTACTCCTAGTTTATGGATAATCAGTGAGGTGGTGGGATGCATCAAAAGCTGTAATTAATTGGAGAGTTGCATCATCCCGAACGAGCAGGTTGTTGACAAAATTTCAGTTGGGGAACAGAAGGAGGTCCGTCTGGTATTTGCCAACTTGTGTCATCTCTGGCACCGACTGGCGAGATATCCGACTGACTACCTGTCAAAGGACGAGTATACTATGCTGTAGATCTTCCTGTTTTGTAATACGGCTGAGACATGGCCGTTGAGAGTAGAAGATAAGATACCATAGGTTTTTGATCGCAGGTATCTTAGATGGCATAGCAATCATCGAGCGAGGAATGTAGAAGTTAGGTGAATGGTACTGGGAAGGAGAGGCAAGTCGAGTGAAGTTGCGCAACTTTCTTGACTGAGATGGCTATTGCACTTTCCTTGAAACAACACTTCAGCAGTTTCAGAAAAACAAAAAGATATCTTGAACTTTTATTCTATCTTACACGAAAAGGTTTTCGATTGTAAATAAAATTATAGCAATGTACCCTTGAATGAAGTAATAATATCACAAGATCTAGTTTCGACAATAATAATTCAAATTCCAAACTGTGAAGGCAATAAAATGAAGGGAAAGTTAGCTTCCTACCTAATTTATTGAAACTATACAAATATAAGTGATTTTATTTTTGTGAAGGAAAAGATATATACATATATTTCACAAAGCAACTCAAGATAAATTATGTTTAGGGAGTATATTAGTACCAATTAACTTCTGCACATCAGAAAGGGGTGGACGTTCAATGTTAACAACCAGGTAAGGAAAACAAAGCATTTTTTGTTTATTGCGGAAATTATCCTTGCGAGTATTAGCCGTCCAACCAACCAAATGTTCAAGCGATGATTACATATGAAGACGAATGAAAGTCGAAAATCAATTCACAGCTAGTCTTGCTTGCATACACAAGTATCCATAGTATCAAGTGGCAAATATTTCTGAAAGACGTTCACAGTTAGGCATGTGCATTTGCATAGCCCTTTCATAGCTAGCATGATCATCATAATACCTTGCACGGAATAGGAGATTTTCTTCTGGAAACAAAAAAACAGAATCGGTAGAAAGTGGTAGAAAGAAAATATTTTTGGTGTGTAATGTCGGTCGTAAAAGCTTGTTGTATCACCCAAAAAATATTTATATTAGAGTAATCATAAACATCAACTGGTTTTCTAACTTAGATGTTAGCTGGTTGGAGGTAATGAGCAGGAAGCTCTGGACCCAGGTTCATACTTGTTGACACTCGTCAGCAAAGCGTATCTGCAACATCGACAGGACTGATATCTTGCCTGGAATTCGAAACTGTGTTGTAGTTAGCGACGTTACCACTATGCTATTTCGGCCACAACTAACCGTAACTAAGTTCGCATAACCTAATTGAAAAGTTCGCAGGTGAGTCATGGGAGGATGGCAGACGACAAGTGACCGCTTTCTAGAACTGTGGTGGATTATTCAGGTTTGAATATGATAAATAGGTTATATACTAGTTTGAATCAGAGAGAGAGACAGAAAATATCGTCGTAGAACCTAGCACAGAAGTGTATCAGTGTCACTTGCCATAATTTACAGTAACATGTAAACAGCAAGTGGGTAGAAAGTGATGCCGAAGTGGACAAAATCCGACTTGTAGTGCATTTTGGGTATATAAAGAACTGTGATCCACTTAAATCATCTAAACTAAGGCAGGAATTTACCGTCTAATGACGAAATGAATTTAGTGCAGAAGCAAGAAGTACTGAGAAAAACCACAAACAAGTAAATTTTACGATTTAAACCTGATTTTTAGTGATTATGCTTGTGACTAGCGAACAAATATAAGAAATATATTCTCCATAGAACATCTCGTGCGGTAGTATCTACGAAATTACATTGAGGAAAGCAGCACGTCAAACTCGAAGAGATAATATTTTTAAAATCTACTATCTGGCGCCACTTTTTATACTTACGTTATATCAAGATACTTGAGATGGAAACAAACTTCAACTCCCTTTTAGTGTAACCTCTTGGATGTTGACATGAAAAATTCTCCAGTTTTGTGTGAATTTCCCTAATATAAGAATGTTTAGGAGGAATTAATCAACATTTTTGGGAAAACTCACGTCATTTAGAGCTGTTTGGTACATGAAAAACTCTGACCTATTTGAATCACTAATCCATGGAAATTTAAATTTGCGTATTTTGATGCTGCCTCGACTAAAAGCCATGGGTAAGGACATGTACTGAGAGCCTAGCATTAAACTGAGGATTCTGACTGACGTTTTTAAATGAACAACAAACCCATCAGACATACAAGAAAAGACTTACTGTAATCTTTTTCCCTGAAACATCGAAACCGAAGGTTGCTTATATATTCTTCTTCCACTTGATTTTCCAAATGAAGAATATTACCCGAGAAATCTTGTTCGAATGTCTTCTTAACATAATAAGGTACTTTATGCGTTCCCGTATGTCGCTCGATGTAGTATTTGCTAAAGTGGTTGTTGGAAAAATGGTAGAACCATTCATCATTCCAAAGTATCATTATGTAAATAAGCAAAACAAATCATTTTAATCATTTAAATAGAGCATACTACGTTTTCATCCGCGAAATCAGACTGAATAAATTGTTTCATACCATCCACAAAAAAACAAGCTAACCAAATACACAACATAAACTGAACGTAAAAAAATTTTACGATTACAAAACTTAACGTGATACACATTATTGCACTAGGTTACAAACATTTCTGCGTTGGCCAGTAATACTACCTGGTTGCCCAGACCAAAACATGTGAAGCGGAAGTAAAAGCAGGAGTGATTTCGGACGACCTGGTGAAGCGATAGTAAAAAACAGTTTCTAGAAAGCCGATACAAACACAAGCGACAAAACCGGCAGAAAAACATAGAAAGCCATTCTTCAAATATTACTTCACCACAAGTCAACATACCAGTAAGCTTTTACATTGCCAGAAGACAGCGTTCGGAAGCAAGTCTTTCCTCTACTCTCAACGGCCATGTCTCAGCCGTATTACAAAACAGGAAGATCTACAGCATAGTATACTCGTCCTTTGACAGGTAGTCAGTCGGATATCTCGCCAGTCGGTGCCAGAGATGACACAAGTTGGCAAATACCAGACGGACCTCCTTCTGTTCCCCAACTGAAATTTTGTCAACAACCTGCTCGTTCGGGATGATGCAACTCTCCAATTAATTACAGCTTTTGATGCATCCCACCACCTCACTGATTATCCATAAACTAGGAGTAACTGCAAACTAATCCTGAGGCATCATCTCACAGCTGACAGGTGCAAAACGCATGCCAAACATGCTCAAACTTTTTCTCAACGCGTTCAGAATACCCCACATTTTGTCAGCGTTTCCACTAGCATGACAACATCGTCTGCATACTATAAGTTAGCCAGATGACCTCTAGAAAGTAGATCAATCCCTGTGAAGTCAGGCGTATCCAAGGTTATATCCATAAGTACGTCTGTAACGAAGTTAAATAGAAACGATGACAGCAGGTATCCCCGGTGGACACGTAGTTGTCGCCAACTCATATGACAACTCTCCATAAGTCTACACGACTGCGTGAGTTCGAGTAGACAGCTTTGATTAGCGTTATATGCTTGCCTAGTCGCCACTTCACTGCCACAACACCTCACTGTCGACAAAGTCGGCTACCACCTTCAGGTCAAGAAATATGGCAAGTGTCGGCTGCCTGTATTCCGGAAACTGATGGAGGGTGAAAATATGGTAGATGCACCCTTGTCCATATCTGAAAGCTACCTGGTTTTCTCGAGTTTGTTGCTGTTAAGCGTCAGATAACGATGGACCCTAGGATCTTAGACACAATATTAGGCAAACTGAATCCCCTATGCTTGTCACAAGAGGATTTATCTCTTCTCTTATAGACTGGAACGATAAGCCAGTCTGACGGCACCACCTCTGATTTCCACACACCCCAGTAATTCTATCACCTTAATTAACCATTTCCTACCTTCATCCTTGGAAACTTCCGGTGACAAACTGTCAGGCCCTGTTGCTTTGCATTATTTCAGGTTCGACAAAGCCTTCTCCACTTCAAGGAGTTGTGGGACAGACATTTATGTTCCATTCAGGTCCAGGCTGGATGCCAAGTGTTGGAGGCTATCTAACTCCTCCTTAAATGAGCAGACAGGTTCCATACAACTAGCAAGGAGCAGACGTACACGAGCCTGTATCAGCGCACGATCGGATTTCAAACCGGTACTCCAGGAAGACTGCTAATCCTCCGTCGATGGCTTGTAGAGACATGGTCTGCGTGTCAATCGACTCGGTGTCGGCGGACGCCTTGTGAAAGTGTCCCTGCTCACGCTTACACTTAGCGCTGGTCAGAAACAAGTGATTGTCGGAGCGAAGTTGCACCAGACGAGCGCGATTGTCCGTTAGTTGGTATGAGATTCCGTAAACACCCCGAAGATGCCTCCCGATTAGCTCACCTTCCCTACCTGAGCGTTAAGTCACCTGCAATTACGACTACATCTGAACGTCTTGCTTTCTGTGGCAAAGTCGACAGCTTTCCATAGAATTCATCCTTTGCATCATCCAAACTGCAACCGGTGAGTGAGTAGACGGAGATTACGAATAGGTATGGCCTAGTCTCACGATCCATTCAGTCGGACAGCACACACGGCTGTTAACTGGTATTCAGTCGAGAAGTATACTTTCTGCTCTACAGTCCTATGCTATCCCTACACCGAGTTCGCAAGGGTTGACAGATACATTTGAGGTGTATTTTGAAGATTCACTTCTTTGACCAGGTGAGGTCGATCCAATAACTATACTTGACTCTTGTGTACGTGTCTCAGACACAGTAGTGGTGTGTCGACCACTTCACTTACCTGGGAAGTAGGATCAACCCTGGTGGGTCAGTTGCCGATGAGATCTATGCACGGATACAAGAGGCTCGATTGGCTTTTGCCAATTTACGTCACCTATGGCGCCGCCGTGATATCCGTTTGTCTATTAAGGGTCGCGTGTACTGCACAGCAGTCCGCTCTGTTCTACTGTATGGCTGTGAAACATGGCCATTGAAGCTGGAGAAAGACATGAGGTTACAGGTGTTTGACCACCGTTGCCTTCGTAGTATAGACCTTATTCCGTGGTGTCACCACGTGAGTAATGCAGAAGTCAGGTGTAGAGTTTTAGGGAGTAGAAGTAAATCAGTTGACGAGGTTATGAACCTTCATCGACTGAGATGGTTGGGACACGTACTACATATGCCTAGTCACCGATCGCCTCGTCACACAATGTTGGCTGAGGTGGGTCCAGGCTGGAAAAAGGCCCGAGGTGGCCAGACTAAAACATGGCACCAAAGCATGAGGTCTCTGACTGCTGGTTTGAGCCATGTGGGGCGATGTAGACTAGGTGGTTGGGGTCGGCGGGACAAGAGGAACCAGTGGTTGGAGACCCTAGGTGATGGTATGGCCCAGAACCGATGTCAGTGGTGCAGATGTATACACACATTATCCTCATCTTAACAACGCCATACCGAATCTCACCATCTCGTCATCCTCCTTTTTCTTCTCGTACTTTTTTTTGACTGCATTCTTTTATTTTCATCCTTCACCTCACTACCTTTTTACTTGATGTACTGATATGAGGTGTGGCAACTCGGACAGTTACGCAGTAATGACTGGTCCAATGCTGATATTGATGATGATGTCTCAGACAGCATGCATCCACGGCTCGAGATTCCATAGTTTTGACGAGCGATACCTACTGTTCAATTTGGAATAGAGTTGGGATGTCGAAAGCTCCTACATGAAGTCGATAGCGAGGTCTTAGGAGACTAGGGATGAGGTTTCAATGACTTTGGTCGTTGACAATGGTTGGAAAGTAAGAGGCTTAATACTAGTATCAAGAGGTGAAGGCAAATGAGGAGACAGTTGAGGAGGATAAGTTATGTTTGACTGAGTCCTGTGTACTACTGGAAGTGTGCGGGCGGTTGATGGTGATGGGAGTATGCTATTTGAGGAATCAACCTTTCCAAATTCCCTCACCTCCACATTCGGGAAGGCAGCATCAGCGTGGCACTGCTGGTCACCTAAGGGGAACATCTTACTACTACTACACCCCCACTTAGCTAACGGTACGAGTTCGCCCTCAAACCCCCATCATAGAGTAGCAATTCACACTATAGTGGTAACTGCTTTTTGTTTAACCACTATCCAACAGACCTTTCTGGTACGGTAGGACATCGAGGGAACAGGTATTCCATCAGCACAGCTTGTTAAGTCATTGTGTTATACAAGCCCGACCACCATGTCTGTTCTGTTTTCAGCTTTGTGTGCACAGGGACTTTTAGATCTGCTCCGTTGCACTAAGAATTCAGAGCTTGGTGTCACCTTAATTACTCAATGCCTTATCGATGGTTTGCAGGAAACGGTGTTCCCCACTCGTTTACTTAAAATGTCAAAAAACCGTCCGTTATAACTTAGTACTGCTGGTAACTACTCATGACCGATTTTGCATTTTTTTTACACTTCTCAAATAAGCTAATCCCACTTTTGTGCCACCCCCGAAGATGTTTTCTTAAATTCATTATTTCTAGTGAAACTGGGTGTGGCTGAAGGTCATCCCCAGATGCTATCGTGCTTGTTGTGGGAAATGGCGTTCTGTGCTCAAGTGCGCGTATTTTACGCGTTCTGTATGTATACTTTACCTAGTTGTAAAGTTTCTAAAATACCATCTGCCATTGCATCGTATTTCATACTATTTACTCATGTACAAACCATTGGTTACACTTCTACTTCTTAGTTGAATAGTAAGCCCAGTTATTTACGAAGAATTGTGCTTACAAATCAATGTGAATTAATCGAGGGTCCAAATTGCAGCAAAAAGGATTTAAGTTCGCATTTCTCACCTCAAAATGTAGGCATAGAGAACACACAACACCATAACATATGGGGATGACTCTCAGGCTTACGCAAAACCCCTAATAGTACCACAGCACTATCATGGTACGAATCCATCGCGGACCGAAATGATACCAGATTACTCCAGGATTGATAGATCTGGGGCTCGTTGGTGAGATCAGTTTCATCTAGTGGATCACGGTGTCGAATGCCTTCCTGTTTACTGAGATTTGGGTAGCCAGGTAGTATGTCCTAACACAATCGGTGGTTCATTGCCTGCTTTACGGATGTAGATAATGTTGCTGTGGGCATTTCGATTCGGCTCGACTCCAGGATCATAGATAGCGATACTGGGTTAAACGCCTAGCCAATCCCGGCCTACACACATTCTTGCCTTAGGCATGGAATATTTTACTTGTGGCGTCCATGAAGGCACAGACACATAAGCGAAATAACAGTAGGAGTAGTGAGACTTCCTGTAGGAGTAGCAATCCTTTACAATGTCTTTACAACAATGTGATCAATGTAATTCAATCCAGTACACGTTCATGCGCTAAGATGTGAGCCACACATGTGCAACGCCTTTAACGATTGCCTGGTTGTCGATACCGAAATAAGCAGAGCGGCGTTGCAATCAATGAGTCAACTTGAGGGTGAAGTTCCTTCGCCAATAAGCCATCTCGCCAAAAGAGCCACTGAAATTCAGTGTAGTGTCCTGTTTTGTGTTTGCCCCCTTGACCCTATTTATCTTCTTTGGAAGTCTTAGGCGACTTAACCATGGTTTGACAACTTTATTTCTAAAACTAAACCCTATAAGAAAATATAGAGAGACTATCAAGGCCTTCTGTAGAAGGCTTATTTTATATCGTACACAACTGTAGTGGAGACACCTGGTTTAAAGAAGTAATCGAACTAAGATTTATGTATGAGATTATTCCAGAGAAGTAGCATCAGCAGAGGATTAAGTTGCTGAAATAACCTAGGTTATACACTAAGTCTTAGTCCATTGTAAAATCAATACGAACGTTGACTACAAGAATTCCCACGAGTGCGTACCACGAATGGATACTCATGCTAAGTGATTTAGGCATCCAAAGATGGCATTAATTATAATCGATGAAGTTCAAACTGTGGTAGGCCATCAAAAACAATGTTCCCAATGCCCCTTTCAGAGGTATGCCAGAAAAAACAGGCTTCATATCCTTTAAAAAGGCCACAAGCTCTAAACTAATTTTCGAATAAAAATGCCCAACGCAATGTATCGTACGTAGTATAAAGGTTCATTCTATAATCGACATAGGGTTGCACTAGAAATTAAAAATAAGTAAATACACTCACTTCGACTTGGTCAAACTAAAGTATGGATCCTTCACAAAAAGGTTGCTGAAGAAGGATAGACCAAATAATATGATAAGTGGGACCAACTGAATGTAGACAAAGTAGTTACTCTGAAAAGAATTTTAAGGCGACAGTACAAATGCAGACTATTGAACTAACAGTATCTAATAAAAACGTTTAATAAAATAAAATACTGCAAGATTTCATAAAATGAAATATGTGTCAGAATCGACACACATTGGAAGCAATTATAGAAATACTGGGAAATGAACGCTGGTTAACAGAAGCAACCAGATACTAAAAGTGTGTACTTGGGCAGATACCGCAACTTTCAAAATAAGTTGTCCCATTTCCCAACCGAGCTGCACGATCTCTTGACTGTCATCGAGCCAGTAAATTTAGGGTATTTATTCTGATGTGTCAGTGTAGACCCTGAACAACGGTGTTGATAATTTAAAGATGCATTGTGTTCAGCCGATCAGAATCTGATAACTCTCAAGCCCTAACCACATTAGGCTGGATATGATGCACCTCAAAGTATACATGCGAATGAGCAGACTGTGGCTAACGTGTTGACCCAGATTAACTGTACAAATCTTGTGATATAATTACTGGTAATCAACAAATGCAAGCAAGGATGGAGAGGTAGGAGTAGTATCTCACACTTTACGACTGAACAGAAAGTCCGAAACTGGTAGCTTAGACACACTTGTCAATGAGAACCCAAAAGTATCTCAAGAAACTTACTTCACGCTCAGATTCTCGAGATCTCTGACGCCTGTGACGATGATCCCGGTAAACTTGTGAAAATGGAAACCCCCCGTTGAAAAACATGGTGAAGACGTCAGCTAGAGAAATAAAAGAGAGAAAAATACCTTACCATCATACTGGAAGAAAGTATCACCATGACGGGGAACTTGTGCTGACCTAACCTGTTCTTCTTCGACTCCAAACTGATCATACCGTTGCCTTTTTCTGGATCCATTAGGACTTCGGATGCCTTTTTAATCTTCTTAAAAGCTTCAGCTGCTCCCGGTGCCCTGTTCTTGTCTGGATGGAATTTAAGAGCAAGACTGAAAATGTAGCTGAGAAATCCACCTTACATTTTGAAGGCTTTCTTAATTTCCTCATCCGACGCGGTCTGAGAAACTCCAAGGATTTCATAATAATCCTTACAGGCAAGCACCTTTCTCAGTGAGTCTATTTGAGTCCTAGAGAATTCTTTTGCCGACTGCTTGTCAGTATCTGGCTGTGGATTGGGATCGGGAGCACCTTGGGATTCTTGAGACCCTTCTCTTGCGCTGGAGGATCGTGAACGAGGTCTCATAAGAAACTCAAGTCCTTCAAACTATGTTATTCACTGATATTTACACTAACCTGCAATATTGACAGATGGATCTAATCTCAAAGCTTTTAGTAGAAATTTCTTAGCTGCATCGCGTTCTCCAGCACTCAAACGTTTTCTGGCAATGAAAATGCATTTTAGCGCTTCATCTTTGTTGGCATTCATTGTAAATCCAGAGTCTGAACGCACATAAGACCAGATCGCGCCTAACGTCAAGTGAACAAACAAAAGCAAATAATTTCCGTCGTGTCCAATGGTTTTCGCTCAAAAAGGCCGGCTTATTATGTGAAAGCACACTGAAGAACATTCCTTTTATCCCATTAGTTCTTTTTTCAAGGTATGAAATGGTGATGTGAACCTCCTTCCTTCCTGACGTTGCAACCAAGCGTTTTATAACTCCCAGTTATAACCAGTACTATCGACCATTTGAGGCACTTTGAAACAGTTACAAGTTTCGCTTTCAGATTTCGACAATCTTGATACCTCTTGACTGATTTGAACTATAGGGAAGAAAACAATATTCGTCGATTTCAAAGTAATTTCTCTAATTCCTGCAAAACACTTTCTCTTGTATCATATATTTATTTTCCTTGCCGAATGCCATTAAATGCCATCACTTATTGGCTGATATAATGGCCGTCCTTATTCCTACCCCTCAATGACTTCCATCTTACAGGCGTTCAAAGTCCATGCTTGTTGGAGATCTTTGTCCGCATAATACCAAAGAGATGTTCTAGTTTTGAAGCCTTTTCCGATATGCTAAGTAGGGCATTTCGAGACGGAAAGCCTCTCGAGTGGTTTTGAGTCACATGTCAGACGACAGCTTGTTACGTGCACACCTTTCTACTACTTAAATTCGCTGAATTTTGTATATAAGTTAGTGGATAAGCCTTCTATGTTCGTTGGAACACTTTCAAGTATCATTCAAACAATCCTGATTCTCAAGTATGCAACTGACTGAAAATGAACCGAAATCTCCAGCCTTCGAGTCTGAGTGACTCATAGTATTTTGCAGGAGAACAATAAGGGCGAATGATGTCCAGCAGTGGCATCTGCCCTGGTGACAGCATGCACATTGTCGGCAATTATGCACTCAGTATAAACCATTCATCTGGATGGATTGACAAGAAACTTAAAATAATTTGTGGTGCGTTTGCATAGTTCCTTTACAATGTTTCTTGCTACATATTAGAATTCCTAAGGTGCAGAATCATGGGGGATTTCGATGAGATAGCTTGTCAAGCATTTGGAAGTTGTGATTTGTGAGTTATAACACGTTGTCAATTTCGAGGCCAGATTTGATGGCATTTGTGGTTATCCTTCCCAAATTTTTAACACACTACAATCAAAGCGTACCGGCCTGTCATTCGATCGATGCTATATAAACCACCCCTCGAAACTGAACTTACACAAATGAATCATATGTATACCAAAACAATGAAATCATTTACTCAATCCCTAATTTTTTTCAAACCATCGAATCCCCACTTGGTATGGATGGTCATATGTACACAGTTATCTGACTTGCATGCAAGATGATTTGGACATGTTAACCAGTGAACCAACTACAAAGACTGTATGCTAACTCACAGCCTGTCAGTGTGAGCTGTCTTCAGTGTGCTTTAGGCTCCTGGTGCCTCTTATGCGTCACTTTTATTCACGCATATAGTTTTGTGTTTCATTTTGAAATTATCAAACCTAACTAGCGAAAGCTCTGTATTTGGCAGCTTTGTTTTCATTTGCTTGCAAACTGATTGTTGATTAATAGTGTTGATAACGAATGAAACGAAATGGTTTGGCAGTGGTTTGGGAGCTACCACGTAGGAAGTTTCTTTGTCAAGAAACAGCAGACAATAATTCTTAGTGCTTTTAACCTGTGCGGAAAACTAGGAAAGAACAAAAAGTGGAAATCTAAATAAAAAACAAGCTTGGTGTGATTAGACTACAGCTCACATTGAAGGTAGACGTCAAGTTTCCAGTCGACACTAAACGAGTCTAGAAGAAGTAACCCCAATCACTTGTTCGGGGAGAAACTTCGCCGATCAACATTCAACAACTCCCAAGGAGTAAACACCAGATCCACTCGAATAGACGTACTCTTTAGTTGTATACGGTCAAAAAATCATCCAGCTTTCTCCTAGCAGAAGAGGTACTTGTATACTTAATAATAATTACTGCATACATTTACGTTCAAAGTGACAAAACCAAATAACGTGTGAGCTATGGTTAACAAACGGTGAAAATCACAAGTTCACCATGGCTGAATGCCAACTCATAACTTCGGCTGAATGTCGAGACAACGAGGGACAGTCGGTCATGGAAAAGTAAGAAACTGAGGCTATATACATTAGTTACTCATAAGTAGTACTATAGATAGCATGAGAAATGTTACAGTCCCCTCAGAGGTGATGAATCCTGAGTCACTTCAGTCAGGTGGATATCTTTAGTATAGATTCGATCTTTCCGGGATCCTTCAGTCTCTCCCTCGAGTTTACACCGACACCTCGCATCCTACTGAGTGAGGCCCTTTGCTGTTCGCAGCGTAACTGTTCATACTTAAGTCCATCCTCTACCTACCTTAGCACCTACGGCTTGTAACGTAACAGCCATGCACAAACTCTGCCTAATATTAACTTGGAACCTTCGTCACGGCGTTTGCTAGTTATCAGCACATACGCATGTTCACCATGCATATCGTACGCGGCGTCACCTTGCTGGCTTCAGATGTGTTCAGTAACCTAGGTGGTGAAAAATATGGCTGACACAATGCTGCAATCCATTTCGTCAATGTTTTCATCTATTCTCCGGCAATTGTTCTTTCCCAGTCCAACTATCACCTTCATAGATTTAGGAAGATAATTTTGACTGTTAGCATGACTGGAACCAATTACTGTAGTCCGGGGGTCCCCTTATTAGTGCTCTGGTGATAGTCGAGTTAGATCGGTGGTGCAGCACAATTGAAATCCGGTAAAAAAGAAAAAATTAGGAGCCACTATTAGCCACTTCTTTAGGTTGAAACCTACCTTCTATGGCAAATACTCCAACTGTGTAACGATTCCATGAGCTGACTTCGTCTTGAGTTTCTTACTGCTCCGCATCTTAGTCGTACTCACCTATGTTGTCTTCTGTGGTGCGACTAAGGGGAGATGAGGCACACCTAGATGATGTTGCACGTCACAATTGAACTGTCATCTGACACTCTTGTGATGTACGAGAAACATCGCCAGATGGTTGCCGTGAAAAGCGTAAGACATCCTTTTCGTCTTTCAGCACATGAATTTTGTGAAGTATTACTTCGATTTCAGCCACCACAGCTGTTCTCTTCAGCCTGAATCTCAGAGATGCGATGAGCAACAAAATCTTTAGTTTAGAACCGGACAGCAATCTGTCGTTTAAAGACTGACCTGCAAGCTCGGCAGCGCAGTCGAAAACGATTCTAACTTTCTGAGGTTTGACTTGGTGGAAAGCAGGACGCCGCGGAAGATACGATGAACTAGATTCGAGATCTGGTGGAGGCGCTGCCCCGGCGAATCCTCTGTCCAGATAACCTTGCGCAACTGCGTAAAGCTCGGGCAAATCCCTTGATGAAGCCTGCATAAAGAATAGGGACGTCGGAGGCCATGTGAATCACTGTTCGGAAGTGACTGGCAGTTGTCCCTCATGGTAAGGAGACTTCTTAGCTTCCTTTCTTCAAGGTGACAGACTTCTGCACGATAGCAAGAGTCCTTATCTTTCAACGGAGCACCCTTGTCTCGAACTTTCCCTCCACCCAGCAGTTCCTGATGGCGGAATATATGATGATTTCTCCATATCTACAGGAGTTGAGGGCTATTAATTGGTGCATCATAATAATCAGTTATGCTTAGTGGTCCCATCATAACCCGACGAAGCAAACTTCACACGCCATGCCGTTCTTCAGCTTTTCCTGTTCTTCATTCGAAGACCAGCGGATTTCAGGAACATTACGATCAATTAATAAGCCAACATTAATATTCAAGCACGACGCAAATTTCAGGTGTTTCAGATGTGATCAGTGTTCAAGCTGCTGCCAGCTAGCAGCGACGTGTCTCATGTTTGGCAGGGCCTTTCCTGGGTATGTCCAGCCCATATATACTTTAGCATTGGGATCCTGTGACTGCGCACCAGAATCAAAGACTGAAGAAAGTATGGCATCTCCTTCATTGTTCGTTGACAGACGCACATATATCTCTTTCCCATGTAGTTTCAATTAGTTCAATAAGTTTTAAGGAATGAGGGCTGAGTCTGAACCATTGCTGAGGGATGACAAGATTTCAACAGAAGCGCTTCTAAGACTCACAGTTACGGGAACTATTACTTGTGCTGCCTGTGGGTTGTCCGTGGGCTGTTGGTAACGTTCTACAATTTGACTCCTTAGATGTAGGTTGACACCGCTGAAACAGAGCCATATTTAAAAGGCATGTGCAGCAACTGATGGTGTCTTCGCCCTCAACCTTCAACAGTCTATCTTCGTGGACATCGGTAGTCTCTAGCAGCATGATTTGCTTTCAGGTAAAGATGACATAGTTTGTTTCCCCCGGCAAAATGTGTCTTTTATCCTGCTTCCATGGAAAGAAAGGTTCGACATCGGTCAATGTAACAGTCACCCTTGCAAACAGCGCACTGCATGCCCATTTTGTCCTCATGGTTAAGCTTCCCAAGATGTACAGAGAAACTTTCTCCTTAACGCCTAGACCAGTCTGCTATAACGCCAGATTTTGCCTAACTCGTTTAGGAGCTTCCGGATTCACTGTGGGTAGTCTGTGCCTTGTACATGCAAAATCAACGCCTTCTACAAACCTGGATAAGCCATTAAATGTCGATTCTTTTCACTGCTTTCAGTACCCTACAGCCACCTCAGCCCATTTAAGAGTTTTTTTTACACAGTTTACCTCATTTTCGCCCCAGCGCATGTTCAGTGACAGTGATGCTATTCTACTGGTAATACGAAGACGTGTCAGTGACACAAAAGCAGAATGATTGACTTAAAACGAAATACATATATCTTTTTGGGGAACTGAAAATAAGAGCCGGTAGCAGTCACTGTAGCCACGTGACTTGCAACGTGTAATTGACAGTAAATATTGCAGTCAAAAACTGATTCGATATTTAGGAAAGGAAAGAATAAGTCCACTTCCCAGGATTTC